TAGAGTACCTTAAGTATGTATAGGTTTTAAACTACTAACTAATTTGCACACACATATTAACATAATAGGAATACAGTGACATAAACAAAGCAAATCTATAATTACCATCCATCTCCAGTGAAGCCAAGAAAACCATTTAGGCACCTTAGGCATTTCTCTGCCCATTTTTTAATAGGGTTATTTGCTTTTTGAGTGGCTGGGCAGCGCATTTAACAGAGTATGCTCTCCAGTATGACACTGGCGGAGAAGGCGTTACCTTCAGCAGTGACAGTGTAGGAGCAGAGAGGTATCCTAGGCAGGGGAAGAGGGTTTTGTTTTTCCTGGTCCACCTCACAGGGGAGATGCTCTGGAACTGTCCCAGCTGCTCGAGCACCAGAGGAGAAGGGCAGTCCCTGTAGCCTGTTCCTCCATCAGCCTGGACCTGCCCAGACCAAATCCCCTGCCTCCTCCACTTTTTAACTCCATGCAAAAGAGAAACCCTCTCACCTACAGCAACTTCTTTTTTCTAAATTGTGGTATAAAACACATAACATTGACCATCTTAACCATTCTAAGTGCACAGTTAAGTATATTCACATTGTTGTGCAACAGATCACCAGAATGTTTACACTGGCTTTTTTTTTTTGAGAGGGCATCTCTCATCTTTATTGATCAAATGGTTGTTAACAACAATAAAATTCTGTATAGGGGACTCAATGCACAATCATTAATCAACCCCAAGCCTCATTCTCAACAGTCTCCAATCTTCTGAAGTATAATGAACAAGTTTTTACATGGTGAACAAGTTCTTACATTACACTGGCTTTTTTTAAAGATTCCTTTTCCCTCAGGGATTTTTTGGTTTTTCGACTAAGGTATCTCTACATGGAAGGTACTTAATAAGTATTACTTAAAGATGATCTAAAATTATACAGATACCTAAAATATTTCCTATAAATAATAACATTACAGGATGCTGAAATTTATTAGGAGCTGTGCTGAAATCTGAAGAGAAATCAGTTTTTGTCCCTCTAACCTGGGTTTTAAAATATAGATCTTATGTTAGGCTATGTTATACATGCTCATGCAGTCACTCTATTAAAATGCCTGAAATTTAAATTATGAGAGAAAGAGCAGGCCCACACAAAGTATCTATTAAGTAAAACAGTTCCTGCAAATAAATACAGTGTATTTAATATAATGATGTTTTAATGCACTTAACATTGTATAAGCCAGATTTCTCTGTAGAATTGGTAACTATGCAATAAATCTAGGTGTTTTGTGTTGTCTAGTTAGACAGTTAGCTAATTATATAAAATACATGATTGAATATAAGGAAACTTTAATATATGGTCTTGAAAGAAGTATCTTCAAGTTTTCTAAATGTAATAAAAATATTAATTCTGTCTCTAATATCTAACATGGGTGAACAGAGAAATGACACAGATTTCCAAATTTATAATAATTGTTATGTGTTGGTATATGCCTGAGAGGAGAAATATTCTAATCTGTAATAAAACTTTTTATGTGAAACACCTGTGAATATTACAGTATAGAAACAATAAATCACATTCCAGGTTTTATGAGAAAAAAATGACTAAGCATGATTTAAATAATGTGGAGCCAGCAAAATTTATGATCTCCCCACGATGTCTATGGAACAGGGTGTGTCTGGAAGAGCTCCCAGAGGGAGCTCTTATTTATTCTGAAAAATAAATCCAAAGGTGAATGTGGTGTTAGTTTCAGCATCCAAACACATACTTTCCTGGCTAGCTAACAGCACAGTTTGGGCAAGAAGCTTCTCTCCTGTGGGTTTTTTAACTCCATCTTCTAGATCAGAGAAGTAGTACATGCATCAGAGGCTGCGGCACACTGACCTTAGTTGGCACTGGCTGGTGGCTGCCACTCCGCTCCCTGGCAAGAGCTGCACCAGGGAGGCCGCACAACCGCAGACCTGAGTCAGTACCAATGGACTTCTCCACATGAACCCCGACACATCACAGCAAAAGGATGCTCTTTCCAAAGGTTCCACCTCTGTTCTGGAGATTGTATTCTTTGATAAAGCATTGTCTTTAAGGCAGGAGGAAGTCACAAGGATTCTGGAACTTTCTAAAGAGCAAATATGCTTTGTCATGACCTTAGTTTCCAAAAATTACAGGATGAATACTTGAGTATTTCATACTTTATATTTTCATGTGCAGGGCAGAAATCCTAAACTACAGGTTAAGTTGAGGAAAGAAGGTGAAGAGTGTAGAGGAGTCCATGGTGGGCTGCCCTACATTTGGAAACATTTCTTCCAAAGTCAAAACAAAATACAACAAATCAGGCCCTAGGGGTCCAAGGGGGCAGGAACGGTGCTGAGAAGGACAGCAGAGGCCAAGGCAGACCTGACTGACCCTGTGAGGACATTTTAAAGGACAGAAATAAAAGCTGCAGAAGTCAATGAGAGGAAAGGGCAGATAGTGGGGAAGGTGGATGAAGGCTGATTGGGGAAGGCTTTTAGAGGAAGCAGCCTGGAATTCCCCAGAGGATGGCTAGACACGTACAAGTGGTCTGGGGTTAAACTAACCACCCTTCTTCTAGCCAAAGAAGCGGGGAGCAGCTCTGGAGCCTGATTATATTTACAGGTGGTGAGGGGCTTCAGCACAGAGAGGGACAGATGGAGCAGAGGGTCAGAAATGAGACCTGAAGACTGAAAGCAGGGATAAGAAAAAAAGCTGTGTCAACTGACATGAAATAGCAAGGAGTAGGTACTG